CCAATACACCCACACTTTGCAAATTGCCTATCACCAATTTTTCTTTCAAGACGATAGGTAATTTCTCGTTCTATTTTAACAGCTAACCAGTCATAGCTTTGGTGAGTGAGTGAGTTTTCGTTTGCAGAAAATTTTCTGCTTAATAAAATATAGAAAAAAAAAGAAATCTTATACGTGTTAGCAAATTGAAAGCATTGTTTTGAACGTGTAAACGCAAATTAAGCGAACAAATTTTAATGTCCAATTTGGTTGTATTTTCAGAATATATTTGCCTACCAAAAGCTTAATCAAACCAACCAAGCTACCAACGGAGAATGAAGCTACCAATTTTGGTCCAATTGGACCAAAGCGGCAACGCTGCATAGCACATAAAAAGAATCGATGTATTGTTGAACGTTGTATAGGAGTATTGAAAGCACGGTTTTGTTGTCTTTCTTACGAAAGGTGTTTATACTATACGCCAGAAAAGTCAGGGAAAATAATTAATGCATGCATTGTGTTGCACAATATTTTNAAGGTATCTGTAAAAAATAATGTTCTTAGTAACAAATAATTGTTTAATAACATATATTTTAACTAAAATTCACAATTATACTTGCTGGCACAACAAAGAATGGCGGGTATATTTGCGCGCATTGAAAATCAGCTGACTACTATGACAGCGTTCAAAGCTACCATTAGGCCATAAAAGCCTTCAAAGTAAAGCAAAGCAAACTAAAGTAAGCAAAGCAAGCAAAGCAAGCGTGCATTGGGCCAATACCTTTAATCTCAAAACCAAACGAGGACTCCATCACTTCCCGGATTTCAGCTACCACGTTTGTTGTTGTTCTGAAAATAAATATGTGTAAGTTTTAATTTGGTAAATAAAATACGAAATTTGTGTATAAGCATATGTGAAATCATACTTACTGCCTGGGTGCCACCGTTTCTTTTAAAAAAGACAAGGCTTCTAAATAAGCCCAACTACGCCTGAACGAAGCAGCACTTCCTCTCGGCTGCTACTGGACCTTTAGCTCGACTCCAAAGCGATCCCTCAAGGACTTCCACCGCTTTCGACAGTTTTCCTCTACGAAGTAAAGTCATATAGGTTCAATTTACAGTTTGTTTAAATGAGAGCATGCTTTTAATAAATCTTACCTGTCTCCCCCAAGGCTGCAGCAATATCCCGCCAAGCTGCTTCCTTCTTCACCCGGTCGCGGTAGCACAACTGTCTCTTGTCTCAAAGGCAATTATGCTTTTCGACTTCGGAGATGAGACTCTCCTCAAACTTTATGCTACTGCCTCACTGGGAATACTGGAACACACTTGAATGTGAAAACCCTGTTAGGAATTGTNATAGTAAACACGTATTTTAACCATTAATTAAAAAAACAATATTTTCGTTTTAAATAAATTTTAATGCACATGTAATTCAGTGTTCCTTCTTTTCAAATAAATAATTAGTTTGGTATGTACAAAAAAGCTAAGTATTTAGTTAGTATATAAAGTTGAAAAAACATTGTGGTGGTAGGTTTATTATAATTGAATATGTACAAAATTAAAAATGAATTAAATTCATTTGGTTCTATTACTATTATTATTATTAATTGTATTATTATAACCATCATTATTGTTATTATCATTAATATTACTACTTATCATATTCAACAATTTTATAATGAGCTCGAGGCCATTTTTTAAATGAAAATTTATTGTGGAAAAGCAACAATAATTTGAAAAAATGGTAGAAGTGATAGCTATTTCGGAAATCACCACATTTCCTCATCAGACTTCTTTCAGTAGGATTCGAACCGACGATCCCACTGACTCAGCCAGTTGCCTATGCACCGTGCTAAGACGCCTTGTAAATTATCGTTTGCTTATTTCCACTATTTT